CATTAAGGTGAAGTTTTGCCTCCTAATACCACTCCTCTCCTGCAGCCCATGGACCAGCAGGTCATTTCCAACTTCAAGAAACTGTACACAAAAGCTCTGTTTCAAAAGTGCTTTGAAGTGACCACAGACACTCGATTGACTCTAAAGAGTTTTGGAAGGATCACTTTAATATCCTCAATTGTGTAAACCTTATAGGTAAGGCTTGGGAGGGAGTGACTAAGAGAACCTTGAACTCTGCTTGGAAGAAACTGTGGCCAGAATGTGTAGACAAAAGGGATTTTGAAGGGTTTTTGAGGCTAACCCTGAGAGGAGTAGTATACCAGTTGAGGAATCAATTGTGGAATTGGGGAAGTCCTTGGGGTTGGAGGTTAGTGGGGAGGATGTGGAAGAGTTGGTGGAGGAGGACAATGAAGAAACTAACCACTGATGAGCTGATAGATCAACTTCAAGAGCAAGAGGCCAGACCTGGGGAAACTGGTTCAAAGGAGGGGAGAGAGAAATTGAAGGAATTGCCTACTTCAAAGATTAAGGAAATGTGTGCAAAAATGGCTTGAAGTGCAAACCTTTTTTGATGAAAATCACCCTCACACAGCTATTGCAAGCCGTGCTGGTGACTGTTACAATGACATGTTGTGAACACTTTAGACAAATCATAAAGGAACGAGAGGTACAGGCCACTATGGACAGATATGTTGTGCGAAGAAGTCCAGTGACTCTGAAGCTGGTCCTAGTGGCATTAAAGAGAAGGGAAGTAACCCCAGAAAAGGACTTGCTACCTCAAGTCCTAATGGAAGGGGATTCCCCTTCTAAACACTAACACTCTCTCTCCCCTCCTCCCATCCCATCAATCATCACCAGATCTTCAATAAAAGTAGTGTCATGTAATTGTGCATGCCTTTTTCAGTTTGTGTGTTACTAAATTAACATTTTTTTGTGGTAAAAAATTTTTTTTTCATACTTTTGGGTGTCTTGACGGATTAATTTTTTTCCCATTATTTTTATGGGGAAAATTAAATTTGCATACGAACATTTGCTTAACGACCACCCCTTTGCACGGATTAAGTCGCTTGGGGGGGGCCATGTATATATATATATATATTATTATTTTTAATATATTTATTTATATATATATTATTAATATATAAAATTTATTGAAAAGTTTTTCAAAGTAGAAGTAGCAAGGAGGAAGAGTATATGGAGAAAAAGAGAGGGGTTTTAAGAGAGTGGTGAGCATGTAAAAAGGAAAAAATGAGAGAGGGGTGGATGTTATAAACAAATTTTTGTTGTAAATAAGAAAAAGTTTTGGAGGAGATTAACAAGTTAAAAAAAGCTTTAGAGAACAAATGGATTTGTCAGAAAAAAAATAGGAGGAGGAGAGTTATTAAATGGAGAGTTAAGGTATTGGGAAAATGGGGGGAAATATTTGGGGAATTTTAAATGTTGAGAAGATAGGGAAGCTGTGATTTCGTGTATAGGGCAAGGGGAAAACATCTTGTAGGAGTGGGAAGAGCCATTTTGTGAGTGTGGGGGAAGTTCGTGGGGAGTGGGTGAAATGAAAGGGGGTAAGGCAGCCGGGATTGAGGGATAAAGTAAAAAATGTTAAAGCGGGGGGGATTAGTTTTGGAGTGGTTGGTTTGAAATTTTTTAAATAAATGTATGGAGAGGGAAAGGTACCTAGGGATGGCAGGAGCATGCATAGTTCCTTTGTATAAAGGCAAAGGGGATAAAAGAGAGTGCAAAAATTATGGGGGGATAGTTTTGAGTATACCTGGTAAAGTGTTGGAGGTTAAAATTTTGAAAGAATTAAGAGTAAGACGGAGAATAGGATAGCAGATGAAAAAGGAGGCTTTGGGAAAAAGGTAGGGGGTGTGTGGCCCGGTGTTTACAGTGAAACATAAGTGAACGTATTTAGATAAGGTAAAGAGGTCTTTTTGGCATTTATGGATTTGGAAAAGGGGGTTTGACGGGTGGTAGGGGGGCAATGTGGAGATGTTGCAAGTGTATGGTGTAGGAGGTAGGTCACTGAAAGCAGTGAAGAGTTTTTCCCGGGGAGTGAGGCTCAAGTTTGAGTTGTAGGGAAAGAGGGAAAATTATTTCCAGTAAAAGTAGGCCTTAAAAGGATGTGTGTGTCACCGTGGGTTTAATTATTTTTGGTGGGGGTTTTAAGAGAAGTAAAAGTGAGGGTCTTGGCAAAAGGCGTGGGAGTTAAAAGATAAAGAATCACATACAAAGTGGGAGTTTCACAGCTACCTTTGCTGATGACCTGTGCTCTTGGGGATTTGAAGAGAATTGCAGAGATTTGGGGGATGAATTTGGTTTGGGTGTGCAAAAAAAGAAATTAAAAGGGGAAAACAGGAAAGAGTAGGTTTGAGGTAACAAAAGATTAGGTGTGAAGATTGAATATCAGTTGGAGGGGGGAGGTTGGGGAGGTGATTTTATTCGTATTTGGGAAAATGGGTGTCGCGGATGGGTCTATGAAAGATGAGGTGAAACTAGAATTTAAGGGGAGAGGGTGGTGGTGACTTAGGGTATGTGGAGACAAAAAAAATTTGTCCTTGGGGGGCAAAGGGGGAATTATGAGGGGTTTATTTTTTCCAAAAGCTTTTTGGGTGTGAAACATGGGTGATGAAGTTGCAGCGGGAGAAGGGTGGAGGCAGTGGAGATGCTGTTGGGGCAATGTGTGGGGTGAATTTAATGCAGAGAATTGTAGTTTGGGGGTTGGAGGAGGTGCGGGGATTTCCAAACTGTTGTCCAGAGGGCTGAGGGAAGGGGTTTTTGGGTGGTTCGGCATGTAGAGGAATGGGCGAAACAGAATGACTTCAAGAGGTATCAGTCTGTGTGGAAAGGGAAGGCGGGGTAGGGGTCGGCCCGGAAAGATTGGAGAGAGGGGGTTTTAAAAGGGGGTTTTTTTGGGGCGGGGGTTGGACTTCCAGCAGGTATGCTGGAGCATGTTTGATAGGAGTGAATGGAGCAAATGGTTTTTAATACTTGACGTGCTGTTTGAGTGTGAGCAAAAATAACTTTTGAGGGGGTTTAAGGAAAAAAGCAGGCGGACTCGAGTCCTGGAGATGGGAAGTACAGTGCCTGCTCTCTGAAGGAGGGGTGTTAATGTTGCAGTTTAAAAACTGTAGTTTAAAGCACCCTTCTGGCAAGACAGTGATGGAGTGAATGATGGTGAAAGTTTTTCTTTTTCGGGCCACCTGCCTTGGTGGGAATCGGCCAGTGTGATAATAAAAAATAATAAATTATTATTATTATTATTATTATTATTATTATTATTATTATTATTATTATTATTATTACCTGCTGTATCCCACCGAGGCAGGGTGGCCCAAAACATAAAACGAAAGTTTCTCCTTTTACATTTAGTAATATATACAGTAGAAGGGGTTACTAGCCCCTTGCTCCTGGCATTTTAGTCGCCTCTTACAACACGCATAGCTTACGGAGGAAGAATTCTGTTCCACTTCCCCATGGAGATAAGAGGACATAAACAAGAACAAGAACTAATAAGAAAATAGAAGAAAACCCAGAGGGGTGTGTATATATATAGTAGTTGTACAGGCATGTGTAGTGTGACCTAAGTGTAAGTATAAGTAGCAAGACGTACCTGATTATAATCATCATTTCCACCCTGCCCACTATCTTTCACAGGGTGGTCAAGTCCAAACCAGGAAATGATCAAAGTGGCAAAATATAAAGAAACACAATAACTCAGTTTCATTGTTGTATATGATTGAGAAGGGTTGGTGGTAGGGGGTAAAGGTTTTGTACATCCAGCAGGCTTGTGTGAATATTATATCGGAGGAAAGGGAGATAAGTGATATTTTATGAAGTGTAGCATGCTGTTGGAGTGTGACCAAGGTAATATTTATGGAGGGATTCAGGAAAAATGGATAGCCAGATTTAAGGGGCACCTGAAGTTCCTCTGTCTTCTAATAACATGTTCATTTTTCCACTATAGTTTACCTTGTCCACATAATTGCTATCGCATTTGATTTGTCTGTTACCTAAGGTGAAGTCTAGGATCTTTCCTAATTCATGTTATAACTTAACAGATCTTTGAGGACAGTTGTGTTGGAGAGGTCTGAACAAAGCTCAGACCTCTCCAACACTGTATTTCCCAACTAGAGGTGGGAAATACAGTGCCTGACTCTGAAGGAGGAATGAGGATGTTACAGTATGGAGGGTCATCTGAACTGTCATGTCAGCATGTTTCTGGCAAGACAGTGATTGAATGAATGACAGTTAATGTGTTTCTTATTTTTTGGGTCACCCTTTCTTGGTGGGAGATTGCCTGTGTTAAAGATTAAAAGATCAAGAAATAGCCAGTGTGATGTAGACTACCAGTCCTGTGTGTTAGCAGGTCCAGATAACCTGTGAGAATCTGTGCTCATCAGCAGTCACAGGATGGACATCATGAAACCATAATTATGTACTGTTGGGTGCTTGTATTTTATATTAATGTAGGAAAGTAAGAATATACACAAAAATTGTATTTTTTATTTATTAAACAAAGAAACGTGTACAGTACTGAGTAAAATTTTTTTGCTAGTTTGATGATGCACATTATTGTGAGTATTTTAGAAAGTGGCAAAGTTGTGTTCAAGATCAACTTTTGTAAATATTATGGTAAGTAGCAAAGGAGGAAAACTTATAGGACAGTGTGGTGATGTGAAAGATATCAGCAAGAGACTAAAAATTTGGGTTGGATAGAAGGTGGTGGTTGGAATGTTCCAGGAAAAAAGTGAAGGTTTTGAGTGGTATGGGCTTGAGAATTAAACAGGCACGTGTGAGCACGTTAGATTGAAATGAGTAGAAACAGGTGATTCTTAGTATATGATTTGCTGGTGCAATGTGAGGAAGGTAACATTTATAAAAGATTCAAGCCTCACTTTTAAGGATTGATGAGGTCATGAGATTTATGGGAATAAAACTAGGAATACCTCTCTCAGTCTCTTAATTAAAGTGAATCACATATTACTTCATTTTTCACAGCTTTCTCTGTTTACTCAAACGGAGGAGCCAACAGGACTTCTTCTATTTATGGGTACACCTGTCGGAGGTAGTAAACGAATGTGTCGCACGACTGATGACTTCATGGCCCTTGAAGTGGATGGTGGTTATGTAAGGCTCACAATGGATCTTGGGGCTGGTCCACACACTATTGAGTGCAATAAGTTGTATATTGCTGATGGTGTTTGGACTAAGATCACTATTGAAAGGTAAATAAAAATTAGCTGAAATTAACACTAAATATTTTAACTTTGATTTGGCCTTCGTTATTATTTTTTTGAAGACATCTGAAAAAATAGTGGATTCGGTTTTTAGTGTATGTCCCGTACATAAAGATTATTATTTATTTATTTTTGCAGAACAGGCAAGTTGGTGAAGTTATATGTGGATCGAGAAGAAATGCAAGGTGAACCAGTGGAGGAAGTATTACCTGGCAAGTATTCTGTCTTCAATCTTGATCCCAAAGTGTCAAAAATCTATGTTGGTGGAATTCCTGCTGGTACTCAGGTTAACAGGGCCATCCTTAGCACTTCATTCTATGGCAAGATGGAAGACCTTCGTCTTAATGATCAACCTATCGGATTGTGGAATTTCAAAATGGATGGAACCAACAACAATCAGCAACGAGGTGCTTTGGAAAGGTTAGAGAATGCTTATGATGTGAATTCTGTTAAAAAAGGAGGGTTTAGTTCACATAATGTTGCAAAAAATTCTGCATAATGTCATCAACTTTATGGTAGGAGTACTTATTGTAGAAAATGTGCCAAATACTGTATAAATACTTGGTTGTTTTTACTAAACTGGCTGTTTCAAACTAGGGTGACCTATAAGAGGAAACATTCATCATCATTCATTCATTAGCAGTCTTGTCAGAAATGCACACACATTAGAATTAAAATAACTCCGAACTGCAACATCTTATCTCATCCTTCAGAGAATAGGCACTTCTTTCCACCTCCAGGACTTGGGTCTGGCTAAGTGATTTTCTGGTTACATGTATTAACAGCCTGTTATTACAGAAGTCAATATCACTTACCTTCTGTGACTTGCAATCAGTGTAACAAGCACTATTTGATGCAATGATGATGTGAGAATCTTGGTTGTCGAATTTAATTCATTCCAGACGTCAATTCAACAACCAAAATAGATGACAACCAAAGTAATTTTTCCATAAAGATATATATAAATAGAATTAATCATTCCAGACCTGAAGGACAATATAATAATTTATTAAAAATGTACTAACTACTACATAAAATTGTAAAATGAATATTAAAGAAACTTTAACTGAAATATGCACAGTAAATGAAAATTTAAACACTCTTATTTGTCAGAGGAGATGTAATGGCACACTGGAAGCAGGAGAGGAGGGGGTATGTTATTGCTTGGAAAGGAGAGTCACCTTCTTTTTGTATGTCAGGCAACTGTCCTTCTGTTATTGTTTTCTTCTTTGTCTCTTTTCACCACTAACAAACACTTGTTCTGGCTCACTGGTTCTGTGTCTCACTAAAAACCTGTCCACTGAGGTTTGTTTCATGCTCCATTTTAACACTTGTCTAAATTGAGTATTACACTGCCATTGTACAAGTTAGAGAGACAGATGGTCACTGCTTTGTTGGATGTTTTTTTCAGCAAACTCCTGACCTGCACGCCGTTTATCACACATTTCCTTGAAAAGTGCAATGGGCACATCATCCATTACCTCCTCTTCCTCTGATAACAGCTCCTCCGCAATTTGTTGCTGCTCCTTCTGAAGGTCTACAAGTTCTTCTGTGGTGAGTTCAGTTCTTTGCTCCTCCACCAGCTCCTCCACATCATCTTCAGTTGGCTCTAGGCCCAAGGTCTTCACCAGGGACACAGTATCCTCTACTGGCTCAGGCTCATCTTCTAAGCCTTCAAAATCCTTGGCTGCCACAAAGTCAGGCCACAATTTCTATGCTGACTGCATGGAAATCCGTGAGGGTTAAATTTGTTTCTGAAGTGATTTCAAAGCACCTTTCAAAAAGTGATTGGTGTAGTTTCTTGAGGTTAGCAATGACCTGCTGGTAATTTCTCTACTCTACAGTCAGTATGATATCCAGTACATTGTGACAGGCCATGCTGATACATAAGAACATAAGAAAGGAGGAACACTGCAGGAGGCCTGTTGGCCCATACTAGGCAGGTCCTTTACAATTCATCCCACTAACAAAACATTTGCCCAACCAATTTTCAATGCTACCAAGAAATAAGCTCTGATGTGAAAAGTCCCACTCAAATCCAACCCTACCACTCATGTACTTATCCAACCTAATTGAAACTACCAAAGTCCCAGCCTCAATAACCCAACTAGGTAGACTGTTCCACTCATCAACTACCCTATTTCCAAACCAATACTTTCCTATGTCCTTTCTAAATCTAAACTTATCTAATTTAAATCCATTACTGCAGGTTCTCTCTTGGAGAGACATCCTCAAGACCTTATTAATATTCCTTTATTAATACCTATCTTCACTTATACACTTCGATCAGGTCTCCCCTCATTCTTCGTCTAACAAGTGAATGTAACTTAAGAGTCTTCAATCTTTCTTCATAAGGAAGATTTCTAATGCTGTGTATTAACTTAGTCATCCTACGCTGAATGTTTTCTAACGAATTTATGTCCATTTTGTAATACGGAGACCAGAATGAGCTGCATAATCTAGGTGAGGCCTTACTAATGATGTATGAAGCCTGCAGTATGACCTCTGGACTTCTGTTGCTTACACTTCTTGATATAAAATCCCAGTAATCTATTTGCCTTATTACGTATGCTTTAGGCATTGCTGTCTTGGTTTAAGGTTGCTGCTCACAATAACCCCCAAGTCCTTTTCGCAATCTGTATGGCTAAGTTCTACATCATTTAACTTATAAGTACTAGGGTTATGGGACACTCCCAAGCTTCAGAACCTTGCATTTATCTACATTGAACTGCATCTGCACTTTTTGACCAAGAATATAGTTTGTTTAAATCCTCCTGAAGTTCCATAACATCTACGTTTGAATCAATTATCCTACCTATCTTTGTGTCATCGGCGAATTTGCTCATATCACTAGTAATTCCTTCATCAAGATCATTGATATATATTATAAACAACACGGGCCCAAGACTGATCCTGTGGAACGCCACTTGTTACAGATCCCCACTCGGATTTAACCCATTTATGGACACTCTCTGCTTCCTGTCAGTGAGCCATGACTCGATCCACGAGAGCACTTTTCCCCACTGCCATGAGCTGCCACTTTCTTTAACAGTCTATGGTGTTAGAACTCTATCATAACCTGTGAGTAACTTTAATTTACTGAAGACATCAGTTGGGAAGTTGGTAGACTACACCACCAGGGTGGTACTCCATCCTGTGGTAGTAGGTTGGTAGACAACAACCACCCAGGGAGTGGTACTACCATCTGTGGTAGTAGGTTGGTAGACAACAAACCACCCAGGGTTGGTACTACCATCCTGTGGTAGTAGGTTGGTAGACAACAACACCCAGGGTGGTACTACCATCCTGTGGTAGTAGCTTGGTTAGACAAACAACCACCCAGGGTGGTACTACCATCCTGTGGTAGTAGGTTGGTAGACAACAACCACCCAGGGTGGTACTACCATCCTGTGGTAGTAGGTTGGTAGCAACAACCACCCAGGGAGGTACTATCATCCTGTGGTAGTAGGTTGGTAGACAACAACCACCCAGGGTGGTACTACCATCCTGTGGTAGTAGGTTGGTAGACAACAACTGCCCAGGGTGGTACTACCATCCTGTGGTAGTAGGTTGGTAGACAGCAACCACCCAGGGAGGTACTACCATCCTGTGGTAGTAGGTTGGTAGACAACAACACCCAGGGAGGTACTACCATCTGTGGTAGTAGGTTGGTAGACAACAACCACCAGGGAGGTACTACCATCCTGTGGTAGCAGGTTGGTAGACCAACCACCCAGGGTGGTACTACCTCCTGTGGTAGTTAGGTTGGTGGACAACAAACCACCCAGGGTGGTACTACCATCCTGTGGTAGTAGGTTGGTAGACAGCAACCACCCAGGGTGGTACTACCATCCTGTGGTAGTAGGTTGGTAGACAGCAACCAACCAGGGAGGTACTACCATCCTGTGGTAGTAGGTTGGTAGACAACAACCACCCGGGTGGTACTACCATGTGTGGTAGTAGGTTGGTAGACAACAACCACCCAGGGTGGTACTACCATCCTGTGGTAGTAGGTTGGTAGACAACAACCACCAGGGTGGTACTACCGTCCTGTGGTAGTAGGTTGGTAGACAACAACCACCCAGGGTGGTACTACCATCCTGTGGTAGTAGGTTGGTAGACAACAACCACCCAGGGAGGTACTACCATCCTGTGGTAGTAGGTTGGTGACAACAACCACCAGGGTGGTACTACCATCCTGTGGTAGCAGGTTGGTAGACAACAACCACCCAGGGAGGTACTACCATCCTGTGGTAGTAGGTTTGTAGCAACACAACCACCCAAGGGAACCGGGGTACTACCATCCTGTGGTAGTAGGTTGGTAGACAACAACCACCCAGGGTGGTACTACCATCTGTGGTAGTAGGTTGGTAGACAAACAACCACCCAGGGTGGTACTACCATCCTGTGGTAGTAGGTTGGTAGATGTTACAAAAAACGCGATTCTAAAAGCTTAGAGATCTCCAGTGAATACTAGAAAGGACTGCCCTTCTAGCATCCAGCCTGTTACTGGGTTTTCGTAACAAGTAGTCAGTATCCTTGTCCAATTATCCATTAGAACCAGTATTATTCAATAGCGCTTTAGGATTACAACTGGTAGGCTACTAACTAGAGAAATTAAAATTTAATAAATTTATTAAGTCTAGAGGTATATTAATCAAAGTAAATTAAATCCAGCAATCGAAATAAAATCAATCTCTCGAGTTCAATATTATTGTGCTGAAAGCACATATCACATTTATAATTCTTAAGTACCGTCAGGTACATTAACATTTAATAAGATATTACAAATACGTACAAATAAGTGTGTGTATGCGTGTAAGTGCTCTTAAGTAGTTAGCTATGTCTCAAGACTCGAATAAGACTTAAACAAGTGACTGACAAAGTCCTCAAATACACTAACTTCTTGACCGACTGGCAACCCGAACAGTCTGCTTGAACAACAAAGAATGTTAAGCCCAATAGCAATGCAATATCAAGCGACTGCGACAGCATCAGGAACAGGAGATAATATAACGACACTAAGTAGGGACCATCTGCAGATCCTCCACAAGTTACAAAACTCCCATAATACTGAATCTATGTTCAGCATAGGAAAAACTGTGACTGTGACAATACACAGGAACCAGTACAAAATTAGGTCAGAAGCTATAGCTAAGGACCTGAGATACTCAGAGTGTCTAAGCGACACACAACCTCAGTACAACGTCGAAAATCACTAAGTCTATACAATGTTCTGTGAAGAGAGTTCTACAGAACTAACAAGAATAATGAGACAGACAATCTGTCCAACCACCAAGCGAGTCTCGAGCAGACTGAATACTTCAGATGAGGTGAGGACACCCCCCCTCGATCACGTGATAGCTACGTGGACAACTGCAGCTCAGAAGCCGGCAGTATAACGAGCGACAAGCGATAATTACAGTAGTTTGACAATAAAGAAAAACTGAGCACATATTATGTACATCCTAAAAACATAAGCTAGTAAAATAACAATATAAGGCAAATACATTTGCAAAAAAAAATTTTTAGAAAAAATTATCAAATATAAAAATTTTTAAAATTATTAAATGAAAACGGTGGGTTATACCATTCCTTGGGTTACTATTGGTAGACCTGCAAGGACTACTACCATCTAGAGGTTCGTAGAAAAACAACCCCAGGGAGGTCTACCTTCCTGGGGTGTAGGTTGGTAGACACAAACCCCGGGAGGTAACTACCTTCCCCCCAAAGGTTTTAACAACCCACCCAGGGGGACACCCCCACCCACCCACGTGTACTACCTCCTGGGTAGTGGTTTGGGTTTAAACAACAACAACCCGGGGTTTGGACTCCTCCTGTGGTAGTAGGTTGGTAGACAAACAACCACCCAGGAGGTACTTACCATTCCTGTGGT